CCCGTGGCGTCGGGAAAGGGGCGGATCGAGAAGAAGCCGCAGCACAGGGCCCCCCCTCGTGTGTAGTTTTCCCCCGTCTAAGCCTTCTCCAGTGTCTGTCACAGGTCCCAGGGAGGGATCTCTGTCTGTCTGCCTTCCTCGCAAAGGAAGAGGTGCTCATGGCCTTTCCTCAGCGCAGCACAGGCTGCCAGCAAGGAGGGCGTCAGCAGCAGCGTCTGTAGCATCAAGGCACAGGCCAGTTGTGCTCTTGCACTGCCCCTTGCACGCCGCAGTGTTGGCAGACAGTGGAAGCAAAGGTGCTCTGATGCCTGTATGGAACGTGCTGCTCGAATCCAGCCACGGTTCATTTTATACTGTTTGTCTTTTACAGGGTTTGTTCTGGGAGGCGCATTTGGTGTCTTCACAGCTGGCATTGACACCAACGTTGGGTTTGATCCCAAGGATCCGTATCGCACACCAACTGCAAAAGAGGTCCTCAAAGATATGGGGCAGCGAGGCATATCCTACGCAAAGAACTTCGCCATTGTGGGTGCCATGTTCTCCTGCACCGAATGTGTGGTAGAATCTGTGAGTAACTTAAGCACTAAGAAATGTTTCCTTGTACGCTTAATAATATCTTCTACTAGATCCAAATAAGTATGTATATCCCCTTTGTAATAGGGCAAGGGAGTAGGCTAGTTTGTTCTGTTTCTTGGCCATCAAAGCTTTGAGACCTGTCATCAGAACTGCTGTTCTCGGACAGAATGAGCAGAAGAGCATGCAATAGCGAAGTCCTTTTCCGTTCAAGCCCTGAATGTGTTGGCAAGTGTAGGCATTACTTTTTAAAACCCTAGCTACAAGTACTTGTTGTTACTTTAAAACATCAAACTGCAAGTTGCAACATGGTAATTTGAGCCTCTAAAAATACCATATGCAGAAAGGGATCCTCTGATGAAAGTTCTTAAGTAACAGGCCTATTTTCATCTTGCCCCTACAGCAAGAAATGACCTTGTGCAGCTCAGTGGTAAATCTATCAAATAGAAAAAAATAGGAAAATTAGCCTGTTATGAATTTGAGTACTGCCTTTTAATTGAAAGACACAATTATTTCTTAAGTCATCTAGGAAGAAAAGTGTATCTGCTTGCACAGTGGAGCGGAACAAAGAGATCTCTGCACTGGTGAAAAACTAGCATGCTCTGGCTATGGACATAGTACATCATTGTCAGCGGGGTGCTGTGGCTCTCACCTGTGCATGGCCAGGCTCAGTGTTACACTCACGTAGTTACAGCACCTTTAAAATCTCTCAGCGGGTGCTAGTGCACAGTACTGTGTTCTGGGGGCTGCATCAGCTCACCTGAGAATCTTTGCTCTAGCGCTGCATTGCACCATATGGATTTGTCTTACCTCTCCCGCAACCCATTCCTTCCTCTTCTCCTGGCCCTGCAAGTCTTGTGTTTGAGAGTGCAGGGGGCCATCTGCTGAGAATAGAGGGAAAGACATCCTCAGATGAGAAGGGGCTGGAAGGTCATTTAATCTTTCTTGGTATTAGTACAGATACTGAGTGTTTATTCCGTATTTACTTGTTGCCTCTGATTTTTAATTCCACAGTATCGGGGAAAGTCAGACTGGAAGAATAGTGTTATTAGCGGCTGCATCACAGGAGGAGCAATCGGCTTCAGAGGTTGGTAGTGCCTGCTGTGAACCACTTCTGTGATAAGACTCTATTTTGGTTACATAGCATGCGGTGTTTTTAATGGAACACAGGCTACAAATCTCTTTGCATGGGGTTATGGTGATGTCAACATGCGAGTGTACTCCAGGCTGGCAGAACTGCCCTCTCTGATGCTTTGCTGTCAGCTTGAAAGATACGTGTGAGTAGGGAAGGCTTGGTAATACAGGACAGTGAAATTGGAGGAAAATCAACAGAATTGACTTGAAAGAAAAATCAGGAAATGGTGTTAGCTATCCACACTCTTCCGTGGTGTTGTGGGGAGGGAGCCAAAAATACATTGAGCAACTCTCTCAACAAAAATACATACCGAGCAACTCTCTGAAGCTACAGCTCTTGTGTTAACAGAGCTCTACTTACATACACTATTTCACTGGCAACTTAATTTGCACAGTGTGTAAAATGCTTTCCTCCTTTCTCAAGTATCAATTCAAACAGACAATTCTATTTAGCTGTAAAAGAGCAGGAGCAGTGGGATTTTAGTCCAGCAGGCACTAGTGGGGACTTTGGGAAGCCTTGAGTGCTAACAGCATCTGGAGAAAAGCCCCAGGCAGGAAGAGAGCGGCTCTGCTCATCAGAAATATCAAACTTCTCTCACCTATCCTTAAGGAAAAAAAACCTGTCCAAAGAGCATAAAAGAAGAGAAAGTGCTCTTGAAAGTGCTTCTAATTGAGCCTGTTAAGTTGTGTCTGTCCTGGACCTAATCCTCTTAGAGCTTTCAAAGCAGTAGCTGCTCTTCCTATCCCTTCCTAGTCCAACAGCAAAGCCACTTGCAGTGCTCAGATCAGAGCGTGCTGAAATCAGCAACGGCCACCGGCATTTTCTCTTCTGTCCCCTGGGGGGAGACTGAGCAACACAGCACCCAGCCAGCGTGCCCTGCTAGTCCAGCTGTCGTAGTTTTAAGTCCAGTGTGTGCCAGGTTCCCCCCTTCACCTTGGGCAGTGGTAGTGCTAGTGTGACCCTGGTAGCAGACTGCCAGGTTCCTGCAGGTGTAAGCTCTTCAAGCCAGCACAGCATAAGCTAGTTACTGGGAAGAAAAATCTTTCCTATTTTGTCTCATTCTTTCCTACTCTTTTTTGCATTGCAGCTGGTTTGAAGGCAGGGGTTATTGGCTGTGGTGGATTTGCCGCTTTCTCCGCTGCAATTGATTACTATCTACGGTAACAGTGGGATCCCTTGGGAGCAAGTTTCCCGTTTGTTCCAGTGCTGCTGCTAAGAGCCTGCATCACGGCAGAAGAACCATCAGGCTTACCTTTCCACTGCCTTTGGAGTCCTGATCAGTGCAAGCTGGATGATGCTGGCTGCTTTTCCTGAATGACTAACAATAATCTGGCTCCGAGCCCTGGCGTGCTGCTTCAGGCAGACTTGCGGGAGCATGCGAGGATGGAGCCAGGCACAGCAAGCAGTATCTCCAGGACGGATCAGCTGACTGTCAGTTTCCAGGAAACAAGCCTGGACTCTGAGCTTTTTCGATCCTTTGGATCTGATTTTGATTAAGTCTGTTGCTAGCATCAAAAGAGGCAGGAGGACAATCTTCAAAAAGAAATGCAGTGATTTAGGTTACCGTGTATTTGAATGTGCTGCAAGTGTTTAACAGTTATCAGTTTGCAGCTTGCTACTCTGTTGGGGAGAGGTAAGATCCTGTGGAGAAATAGTTTGTTCCAGGCTTTTCTTAAAATACCAGCTGAAGACAAACCACCATCTGTACAACTTGTCTTATTTCAAGCACAGAGATGAGAGCCAAATTTCTTTACCATGTCTTAAAGGGAAAAGCAAAAAGGAATCCTTAGCCTTAGAACCGTGTGGTTACTGGCAGATGAACAAAACAGTTTAAGGGGGGGGAAAAAAAAAAAAAGAGGCTGTTGCAGAAGTATAATTCTGTATAGCCACTTGGCTAGCCTGATTTAACCTCGCTGTGGGAGTACGAGTAATCTTGCTACTGCTTTAACTGCCACAGGCTCACACCATTAGTTCCAGCAGTTTGATGGTGAGACTAGAAAGTAGAGTTGTGAGAATAAACCACTGTTAGATAAGTAAGTGGGCATTCACTTAGCACACAGTCCATTTCCCATCACGTCCCTGTACCACCTCCAAGTACCCCAGTTACACTGAGGAAAGGCAAGTGTTATTTGTGCAGAACATTGGTACTGAAGTCAAAATGTCTGTTCACTAGCTTGAGTAGCTGCTCCCCTTTTGATTTGCATTCATATTAGCTCTCTTGCTCTTCCAACCAAGCTCGGTTCTCAGACCTCAAGGGGTAAATTTTATACTCAGAAAACCTTAGACTGATTTTTAACCTTCCTTGAGCCACTCCACAAGGACAAACATCCACCCTCATCTTTTTGAGGCAGTGGGATTTCAGAGTCAGTGCACACACCTAATAGGGGTTCTCCCACCCACTTCCCTCCTTTGCATCCACAGTTTGACATCCCAGACTGGTGACAGCACTTACTTACCTGGAAGAGCAATACCAGTAGGGTGGTTTGGCTGAACAGTGGTTTGGTGGTCAGTGGTCAGTTTGGAAAGACGTGGGGAGATAAATCACATGGTGCTATCAGATGAGGTTTCCAGATCGCCTGATGTCCCTTGCTGTGCCTGTTCAATACCCTCAGGCCAAAAGCTGTGCAAGTCAGCTGAATTTTAAGCTTGAGTAATTTTGGGCTGATTAAACAGGCTGGCTCCAGACAGTCCAGGTTTTTTTTTTTTCCCTCCAGAATGTACTGAAATGGAAGGATGTAGCCCAAACCATAAGATGTCTCTTAAAAAATGGTCTGGCACAATGCCTGTGCTTATACCACTGGCTTGAAGTGCAACTAGCAAGATTTCCACGACAGAAAGAGAAGCCGCCACGACGCCAAGGTGATCAGTTAGTGCAAACAGCAACACCATGGGGCTCCTTTTGTGCAAATGTTGGGGCTTTGCATTTTTATTAACATTTTTTTTCTCTTCACATGGTTTACAGCCATTTAAAGTTTATAATCTACAGAAATTGAAACAGAACACAAACAAAAATATATCCTTAACAACTTCTGAAAGTCAAATATTAATTAACAGTTCTATTCTACCTGTAGCTGCAAGAGTCCACCCCCCTCTTTTCCTTCCTGTAGGGACAAGCAAAAGCCGGTCACGGGGACGGCCGCAGCCTGTTGTGCCGGGCCTGTGTGGACCAGGCCTCCAGCCACTGTCGCACGGGGGGATTTGGCTGTACAGCATCTCCATCTGGAATGACAGTATCATGGACAGAGACTTGGACACATGTAACATATCAGACACACACAGGGATCCGTTGTGCAGTCACATCTAAAACTCGGCCTCCTTACTGGGTCCAGGGCCAAGACAGACGCCTGGTTATTTTCTGCAATGCTGTTTCCCGTCTGTTTAGCTGGTAGTCAAGAGGAGCAGGGTCTGGAGTGTGAGCCCTTTGGAGGGGGACTGAAAGACCTCCCCTCCTTTAGTTGCTTTGCTGGTGTGGGGCCGGCAAGCGCTGCCTTCCCCGGGGAGGTGGGCTTAGGACATACCTGGTGCATCGGTGGCAGGCAGCTGGGCTCTACCTGGAACAGTCTGTTAGTCGGGAGGGTAAAGGCAATGCCGCTGTTAGCAGGGATACGCTTGGTCACTTCTCATCCATCTCCATTTGGCACAGGAGAGCGCAGGGCCAACGCAATCAGGGAGGGGGCTTTTCCCACAAGAACACAGACTCGGCTCACAGAGCGAAAGGTTTCGTGTCCCAACAGGTACCAGCACCTACCTGTGAGTGTGGGAGGGTGGGGGACATACCGGGAGCCAGGCACTGGGGCAGCCGGAGCACAGCCTGGCAGCGAACGCAGGCATGTGGCCGTCCTGCCTTGGGACATAGCGTGACAACTCCAGCCATCAGCCTGGGGGGTCAAGAACTGGAGCCACTAACTAAAACGGACCTGAGCTGGCCGGGCACGGCTAACCCAGCAGCGACTGCTTTGTGAGAAAGAGCAAACGAAGCACTTCCGCCTTTGGTAGTGAGGCCTTCCTCCTCCCGTCCCTCTGCACTGGTTTCCAGGCTAGGTGACCGTCCAGCTGCCAGAGCACTCACTTCCAGCAGCCCGGCCGGCACCAAGGCAGAGCCACATGCTGCCATTTGCCTGGTGCCTGGGGCAGCAAGGAAGGCGAAGGAGGGAAGCAAAAACCTCCCTGTTCTCGTGGCTACGGCAGGGGAGCCGGGGGCCCCGGCGGGGCTCCCACGGGGCGG